TACTTGGCTGTAAGTAGTTAAGGCACAACGACTCAGTTCTGCCACCGTAATGCAAAAGCAGCCATAGACAACATGCACATGAATGAGCAGGGCTGTGTGCTAATAAAACTTTATTTACAAAAACGAGAGACAAGACAGTTTTCTCCTGTGGGTCGCAGTTTGTCAGCCCCTCTTCTAGTCTGTGTAATTCAGAGGGCTGTGGAGAGTGAAGGCTGGGGACAAGCAAAATATACATGGTTTGAGATGCACACAGGCCACAGAATGCTCAATGGGGAACTTTTCTTTTGGGGGAGTTGGTCTTTCCCAGCCAATGTAGTGGGAGGCAAAGTTCATGTGTTACCAGTTTATGGATCATCAGAGTCTTGGATATAGAGAGATTATTTCCTTAGAGACCCTAATGGGAGCTGTCTATGATCTCCTAGAGTTTTTATATTGGCTTAAACAAAATTTGGGTCTATTGCATGAATACAAGAGCAAATCCCAAGGCTCACCCTATACACAGTCTCTCTTCCTTAACATCCTTGCCTGCAAAGATGGGAATTTAGTTTCCAGAGAACTAGTATCACTTATAAAAACAATAGTAATTCCCTTAGCCTTACCCTTCATCAAGGACCTTCTATGGGTCTGGTGTTAAGTACTATACATACCCAAGAGCTAACATTAATTGAGCATTTGCTTGTGCCAGGCAGGATGTTCAGTGTTATAGATATTATCTCATGAATTTTTCACCCTGCCCATTATGCAGGTATTAAAGTTCTCCCCTTTTACCCAGGAGGCTCAAAGAGGGAAAGCAATTTGGTCAAGGTCAAAGTTGCTAAACTTGGAGCCTACAGCCTCTGCTTGGTCTGCTCTGTCTGCTACCCCTCGGGGCCAACTGCCTGCCTCAGGGGAGCTGACCCAGCCTCTTACAGTCACTTAAATTTCTCAGATTCTGTCCCCGTTACCTCCTGTTGGAGACGACTCCATTCAGGGTTAGCAAGAAATTCTATCTTTGAGGTGTTGGGGATGAGGGGAAAACTTAATCCCAAGTAGCAAACTGAGGGCTTTGTTAGAACGTGTCACACTAATAAAAAGCAAAAAGTGTTGATTTTTTTCAACCACATTCTCCCATCATTTTCCACCTCAGTTGTTTGTTAAACTTAATTAATTGCTATAACGGAACCCATCCAGGCAAGATATCAGCAGGAGAGATATATGGCTGATGAATCAGCTTTTAAGATTTAGTCCCAAATTGAAGGTGAATGTCCCAGCCTGCGACTTTAACCAAATTCAAACCTTCACTCATAAAGTAAGTCTTTGTTCAAAGGCAGCCCTAGTACAGCTTCTGCCTGCTCTTTATTTAGTCGTGTTACTACAGAAATGCCTTATAGCTAGTTTCTTAATTATTCATGGTTTTTGGCAAATTAAGTCTCATGCCTCTCCAGTATCTAGACGTAGAGGAAGTGTTCAATTCCAAAGAAATTATGCCTTCCCAGCTGTACCAGCCAGGCAATGATGTTGTTGCCAAATTCCGTATGAATAGGTGGGGGATCTTATTTCACTTATAGTATATGAATAAACAGAACACCCCCAGGGAACTGCGAGGTATTTCATGTAACGAATATCTCCCATACCACCCTTATTTCTCTCTGGAGTGACTGAGCCCTGGATTTCCCACAAAGACTATTCAGCCCAAAAGCAAGAAAAATGACACCTTTTTTATTATCAAGATGATAAAAAAATGGGGTTCAATAAAATATGTAACCCTATGGTGTTTCCAGTTCATGTGCCAGTAAACCGGGCAGTACCACTGAACATTGATTTAGAAATCATAATTATTAGATAGCAATAAGGGTGTTTTAATGATGAGCCCCCACCCCGTTAACTTGAATTACTGTGGCAAAATACTTGGAAATGTGTTTGCCATTAATCTTTGTACTTACCTAGAAAAATAACTATTTTGTTTAAAGAGCTCTAGATTTGAGGTTCTAAGAAGGCAGGTGCAGTGGACCTTGCGGATTGCCCCCCAACCGAGCACTGACCCTCCCCCATTGTTTGGCAGCTATGTGATCTGCCTGGGACTAACCTCACGCCCAGCTGCAGAAATGGGTCTGCTCCCCCACTGGCCTAAGCCCATCAGTGCAATTAGTGTTTCTCAACAGTTATATTCATTATCATTGTCTTAAGGAGTCTTGTAGATAGTTTTTTGTTTGCTAGTCATCCCCACCCCCTGCAAATTCTAATGCCGAAAGTATACTGTATATCTGTTTAGGTATGTATATCTGTGCTTTATACACAAAAAGAGTAAGATTTTTTTGTGCCCCGTTCCCACTCCCAAGAAATAATTGTTGCTTCTTGGGGGTCCTATCACTCTCACTGAGAATGCCTGAATTATAATCCCATTCCCTGTGCCATTCAGTGCAGGCACTGGGGGTGGGTACCGACCCTAAGTTAACCTATCAGAGCGCAAACTGGGAATTTTTTTTTTTTTTTTTGATAGCTGGTGGAGATGAGAAATGTTTTTTTCTTTCTGGATGGGTTCATATGTGGATCTCAGCCATGGAACTGCTGCAGCTATCTGCTATCATGAGGGAAGAAACCAGCTAAAGCAAAAGCCAGTACATGAACAAGACAAGGCTGAAAGATTCATGGGCAACAAGCATCGTGCCTGGATCAAACCATACCTGAAGTTCATTCAACTACTAAACATTTTGGTTTGTCATAAGTCCCTTCTTTTTATTTTGTAGGTTAGAGTTGGGTTTCCTATTACTATAAATCCCAAATGACAGAGAAGATAACATTTATTGAATGCCTCCTAAACTCTAGGTACTGTGTTAAATATCTTACATGTCAATTAATTCTTTCATCAACCTCTGTGATTAGTACTATTATATTTCCCATTTTATAAATGATAAACTGAATCAGGATAAGATAAAGTAACTTATGTATGATCAAACACAGGCAAAGGTTGGATTTATCCCTGTGTCTGACTTGGAGCCTAAGGTATTAACCACTTTATTTTACTGCTTTACAATTCTATACAATTTAAGTCACTACTTTCTTGCTCAGTATTTAAAAGGCATTAATGAAAATGGTGTTTCTTTGCTAGCAATTAACTTGTGTTGTGCAATTAAGAAACCTATGAGTCTCCCAAGTTTTAAAATATTTTAAGAATTCTTACTTCTCCCAAAGCACAAGAAACTTTAAACTTAGAGATCATTTCCTACTTATGACTATACTCTTAAAAATGGCCACCATTATATCAGATGTCCTTTCTTATTATCATGAGAAGGTACTGGCTCAGTCACCATCCCTTTCACAGAAGAGAAAACTTACAATTTAGTAGGATAGTCCTTCAAGTTGCTGTTTTGCTTACAAATAATGATTGATAAAACTCATGGAAGGGGGTCTCAGGATTCAGGAACCTAACCTAATTAGTCACTAATAGCAAAAGAAATAAGCTATATGTCCCCTGAACCTTGGGGAGAGATGCATAGAGGCTGTTTGGTTGGCTCTAATATTCCTGTTCTCCTTTTAAAAAGTTTCTCCAACATTAAAAAGCAAAAACAAAACTCTATGGGGGTCACTTCTCCTACAGACCAACGCAACAATGATTTCCCGAAAGACAAAAAGGCTGAGAGGCAGACACATCTGGCTCTAAAAGGCTAGGTGATCTGTGTACCGTGGCCAGAGGGGATATGTCCACAGCTCCATAATACTCTCAACCCCCACAGGCTGTTCTGCATCTCATCCTGGCTTTTGGATTCACCCAAAATGCAAGACATCACAGACATGTTCTCTAAAGCAGAAGTCCTGAAAGCATGAAGTAAATGCTGCTCACATTGTAACAAGGATGATTGGACATCAACGATGACAAGGGGATGCTGATTCTTTACAACCCCCCCCCCCGCGACCCCTCCACCATTTAACCTCAGGTGCTGCTCTTTTCATTTTGCTTGATGGATGGAAGACTACAGCTTGTCAAAAACAGAGGCTTGATCACATAGAGGACTCAATACAATGAGATATAAATGATAGCCATTGTGGGCATGCGGTCAGGGTAGGGGAAATCCAGGAGCTGTAACAGAGCTATTTCCACATCACAGGGAAGGAGACGTGATGATATAGTCCCATAGTAAACACTAGGTATAATCTTCCTAAATGCAATGCAGATTTTTTTTTAAACCTCGAAGATATTAACCAATCCAAGCAAAGGACTTTTAAATTCACAAATGACTGTCAAAAAAAAAAAAAAAAAAATCCAGGGAAGCTGCAGTCCCAGAGAAAATGAATGGTCTCCTAGTTGAACAAAGTTGCTGCATTTTTTTGCCTGCAGGACGGGACCTAGCAGAGAAATAAAGAGGCTGTGTTGTGTGAGGGGAGTAAACCCGAAGGTGAGCATTCCAACCTTCCACCAGGCAACCCCTCCCTACCCTAACCATCATCCTCCTGCAAAGTGTTCACAATTTGCTGTCCTTCCTCCAAAAGCCAGTAGACAGAGAATCAGCTTTTCCTGGCTCGGCCTTGCAAGTTGGGGCTGCCTGATGGAAAACCGAAATAAAATCAAAAGAAAGAATGCAAATCCAGCAAGGCCCCTCTGACCGAAAATTGGTGTGAAATCCTTGGTCCTGAAATGCTCCCCCCCGCATCCACCCCAATAAAACGAAAAAGGAGGAATCATCTGAATGTCCAAGTCGCTTCCCGCAGACCCTCTGCTGCAAAGCAACAGCTTTCTTAGCTAAGTGCCAGGCAGTACACCATCGCTCTGTAACAGATGTCTGCAAATGCTGGTACTAACTCGCAAGTGTCCCCGTGCCCAATGGGGAAAAATCACAAGCTTTGTCAGGCAACAGTTATCCACAGATGCTGAACATTTGACCCAGGAGTCAAGCAGCCCGCTAGGAGTTTAAAAAAAAGAGAGGTGGAGGGAGAGAGAGAAGCAAATCATACAGGTGGAACCGGCTTCCCTAGAGCGCCCGGCATCCTGCGAGGGCCCCCGGGCGCCGCGCGCCCTGGCTCACCTGGTACACGTCCCGCAGCCCGCACCACGTCCGCAGCACCTGGTGGCAAGCCCGCAATCTCTCCGTGTACCATCTCCGCAGCGTGGACACGGTCAAGTTCCACACGAAGCGGCTGCCGCTGAACAGCAGGTCCTCCACTCCACACATGAACACCGAAGCCATGCCGCCTCCTTCCCTGGGACCCCGGGGCGGCCCGGCTCCCGCAGCTGCAGCCTAGCCCAGCCCCGCCGCCGCGGGCCCGACCGCCGAGGCTCCAGCCGCCGGCTTCTGCGGGCAGCCCGGAGGGACGGGGGTG